ATTGTGTTACACTGAGCCATTGCTCGAAGCTTGGTATACAAACGAACTCTATTGCTGTGCGACCATTTTATGCAACGCCATCCTTAACAGCAAGCCATGACTCGCGCTCCGAGATCTCCTTCCACCACCTCGCAACGCTAGGCTGCTTCTCCAGTGCATCTATACCCATCTGGCTGAACATGTAACCAAAAGGGAGATGGAAAAGGTCGGCGAGGGTGATATGCTGAATAAACCCCAGCGAAGTATAATGCAGTGGTCAATACCCCTCTAGGGCTTTGAGAAGATAGGGGGACTCACGTCACCAGCGAGATAAGGCTGCTTCGAAAGGATCGCTTCGTACCCCTTGACTTTCTCCTCAAGGAGCGCAACGAGCTGCGAAACACGCTTAGTATCGGGCTGTTCACCGCGGAGACTTCAAGGCCGATCGTCAGTAATGCCCTTCATCGCGTTCATATCTCAAGACTCACCCCTTGAAGATGTTCTCATCAGCGATACCGTTGCCAATAGGGTCGAAATTGGTCAACTCGATCGAAGCGGCTTGTTCGAAGAGAGCCTCGGCTTTAGGTTCGGTGGGTATGAGACCCTGCGTTCCCTGGCTTGCATACTTCTTCGTGAGGTAGCGCGAGATAGCGCGGGACTCGTAGAGCACGAAGCCGTCGTCCTCCTTTACCCAAATAATATCGATCAGCCAAGGTGTCTCTGTATTTCGGAAGAGGGAAACGTACGATAAACGGCACCTGACCGAAATGCTGGACCTTCGTGTGCGCCTCGCCTTTGTGTGCGCCCTCGAGCATGTTGACGGTGACGAGTTCATAGGGGATGTTCTTCTCCCTACAGATGAGCGCGACGCGCTTCGTGCAGATGGAGATGGGGAAACCGTGGATCTTGAGGACCATATTTGTTTATTAGTGAGGATGCGAGTAAGTGTTATACGAGTGGATGAGTGAAGAGGTAGAGATCCTACCGAGGATTTATTATACCCTCCCTGACCCTTACTGACGTCCCCGCTGTCTTGGGATCAAAAAGGACGAGTGATATTTTCTATTCGACCACGTTTGCGTATCGGTCATCCCTGAGGATTTTGGACCCATTTCCGAGAGGAATTTGCGACAGATAATGGGCAGTCCCGAGTGCGGTGGAGGTTGATATCCCGGACAGTTCGGGGAATGCATATGCGCATAGGGACTTTTCTCGAGATGGTAGTTTGTTGGGTCGTTCCCTGGTGTCCTCCACGCGTTCGGTTTCAACTTGTCAGGATCATCGCCGCCCAGGCCGCTCAAGGCTGGAGCGAGTTCATCCGATCAACCTTACTGTGGTAGTGGGCCAAACCGTTGAGGTTCTCCCTGCTAACGAAGCATCGAAGTTTCGTACCCTACCCAATAGGCTACTGCGCGTCCACCTGCGTCCACCTGGCATAAGCTGCTAAGGTTGCCCTGGACTTAGCGCTAAGCATTAAGCATTAAGCATCGTCTGTGCGAATCATGATGGGGACCACCTTTCGCGTACCCTTCGGCTCTCTTCCCTCTCTTCCCTCTCTTCCCGCACTTACCGCCAGTTCGGACACAATAGCGGCTATGCCAGGCTGTGTGCCAATCGGCAGGGCGCCCGGCGGTTGGATTGGCACGCGGATCCCATGTGGGGTCGCAGCAGTTCGCGAGCAACTAATTTCCTCCCGAACACGGATTGAACACGGACGGCCGCCGGGGATCATATGTGCATTGAATTTGCTAGGAGAAGGAGCCCTCGGAACGCTGGCTCGCAAGTCGTGGACTGCTCCGCTCCAGAGAGCTACTATGTCATTTTTTCAGCCGTCCTTGCATTCGATTTTTCCAACCACCCTCAAAACCCTTGATCCCGGCGCCCCTTTCCAAAGTCTGATGGGGTCTCGAAGACACCGTGTCAACTGCCCCCTCGGGTGAACCTGCAACGAGTGGTAACAATGACTTGCATCAGAGGCCTGTTGATGACGGTCCACGGTTTCCCGGTGTCTCGGAAAACCTGCTGTTGGAAACTTTCCGTTCGGTACGCTTACATAATCTCGTAGTATACGATAGCGTCTCCTCATTTATCTCTTTCCCCTACGTGTTTGACAGAGCTCAGACAAGCACGAATATTCTGTTATAATTCTCCTGCGTGGTCCCGAACCCCGAATTCTAACACCTGCGTCTAGGCAACCGCACTTCAAGTTTGTCAAAAATTGTGTTTCGCGTAGCTTCAAGTGCCTTGGGGCACGTCAAGTTGACTCATTGCGCATTGACTGCACTGGGTCCATTATACAGTGAGTCCAGGAGCACATCGCATGTCTGATGCGTCAACCCGCGAGATGGACTCTGGACATGACCCAAAGTCCGAGTACGTTGGGACCACGCACTGGGTGAGCATCTCATCTGTCGCATGTTACACCATGTCTCCTGCCGTTCCTAGTCCTTTAGATAGGAAGATTTCTGCAAACAAGGATACTTATGGCTGATGGTATTCCAGCAAAGCTGGTGCCCCCGGCTTCAAGGATCTTGTCATATCCGATATGCATAGCCCTCGCCTTAGCCTCAAATTTTTGCCAGCAAGATTCTTCAAATTGAACTGGTCTAGACCCGCATAGCGGGCACCTTGATAACCCTGTGACCGACCAGGATTTGGTATCGTGTGGCCGTCAGTTTGTTGTGCGTTGTGGAGCTCAGCAAGTATCACTCAGACTGCATATTAGTGGGTCTTCCTGCGAAGTGCTCCTCAGGATGTGTGTGTCCATCAATGCTTGCGCTGCGCCCGCGGGTAGATGGTATCATAAGTCTACAGGTTGTGTGGTGATACCACCCATTTTATAAATTTGGGATTATTGTCAGGGTACTGCCCATGAATGCTTATCATTGACACAGCAGGTCGCGTACAGATTGGAAGGCGCAGAGCGTTTTCGGGTATTACGCGAACTATACATATTGCATATTGACCAGCAAGAATGACGCCCGCGAGCAGCACAGGGAACGTTCTCCGCGAAACCTTTGAAATAGCCGCTTCTTTGTCGCCCGACTCGCCGAGGTAACGGCGGCGAGGTTTGATACCCCCTTCGGAGCAGCATTCCGGATTAACCGACCTGCGGGAACGTATGACTTCTTTCCGGTTCTTCTCAGATCCCACTTCCCAGGCTTATCGACAATGTCTTCGGCGCTCAAAGATAGCGATAGGCTGTGCTAGACACTTTGAGGCACCCTCACCCCATTGGCAGTCGCAAACTTGAACTTCGCTGGTAATGTTTAGCATCCTTCCAAGTTTCTCGGCCTCACTGTCCCTTCGGTTTTTACAGGACCCAGTTCCAGACATGCTTGATATTGGAGCGACCCCTAGCAACATCAAGATGATGCATCGTTCACAGACATTGCGGCACTGCCGCGTCTCAGAATACCGCGGGCCTACAAGGCGGCTCTCATATCCGACCTTTACGCTCTGAACGTGTTGCGAGTGGCAACTGGATTGCTGTGAGTAAACATGCAAGAGTCACTCCGAGGTCTAAGGAATGAAGGGTACTTGGAAGTTCTCTTCGAGCCGGACGTCGGTTAATCGCAGCAGGAACGTTCTACAATGCATCTGGTATAAGAGGCTTTGTGAAAATGGGTGACTGGCGTTATCACTATAAGTGAACACCATCAGCAGCAGCAGTTAGTCTATCCTTCAAACATGAGTTTGGTACGACCGGCGCCCTCAGCCTTTCCATATACCACCAGCTCATGAACTTTTACAGACGCAGAACGTAAAGGCAACAATTCACTCGCTACTCCAGCAATGTGGAGTGCAGTACAAAGCTCTTCCCTTTGATCAGGTTCTCTACCAAGAGTGCTTCGACGAAGGAGTGCGAAGGGGATATCCAATGGAGGGCGAAGTTTCTGTGAGGACATATCTGCGTGACGGCGTCATGTACGGAGCCACAGCCGGCGGACATCTCCACCACCGTCCGACTCAAATATGGATCAGTCTCTGGACGTCGTGCGCCATCTTTGTCGACGAGACATTCAGTCGATTTCCCTCCGAGGTGGCCCACACTTATCAATTCAATGATCGGTTCATCCGTAGGCAAGCGCAAGGGAATGGCGTCCTAGGCGCCCTTGCGGATTTGTTACATCAAACACCAGAGTTATTTAATGCAGTGGCCTCCAACCTCGTTACAACATCGATCCTGAACTTCGTCACTGCATGCCTACTTGAGCACGAGACTAGGGACATGAAGGTAATAGTACTTGATGTCAGATCATTTGCAGACATGCGACTGACACTGAAACTCAGATTTCGACCGACGCACAACGGTATCCTACCTATCAGCGCATCATGTCTGGTGTTGGGGAAGCTTACTCGTTCATGGTTTTCGACAAAGAGATTCCCCTGAACGACTATATCCAGGCCCTCCCAGAGATGACCCTTTTCATCCACAACTTAAAGTGCGCCGGTTTTCTTCGCAACTGCGGATGAGAAGCTGACATGTCGCATTTCCAGTGACGTGTTGTCGTTCTACAAGGAAGAGCGGGCGGGTGAGTCTGGCAACCAGGTCTCGCTCATAGCCGCCCGCAAGCAGACCTCAAAACTAGAGGCATTCAACGGACTAGCGGAGATAACTGTAGAGCTTCACGGAAGAATCTTGAAAATAATGGAAGCGTCTCCAGCGGCTTGCGAAGCGTTTAGGCAGTACACTGCTGGATACGTCTACTTTCATACTTCTTTGCAAAGATATCGGTTGTTAGATTTGGAGCTGTAGCTACTAGCTGGGGTTGAATATATCCAACATTGATATGTTATCCTCCGAGGCAATGTAACCGATACGTATAGTAGACCATGCAGGGGAAAGACAGCCGTTCCTTCTTGCTAGCATGCATGGTTTAGGGAGTCCTATCACCAAATGGTAGTAACTTCGCATGCGGTGACAACTCGGGTTTGGCAGCCTCTGCGCCGTCGGGCACAAGACCTTGTTACATAATCTTTCTTCTAAAAGGTTTGTTGTCGAAAATAATCAAAAAGACTGGCCAACATGGGGATCGAACCCAGGACCTTCGCGTTATTAGCACGACGCTCTAACCAGCTGAGCTAGTCGGCCGATGAGACGGCGCTTGCAGTGAGAAATAACATTCCAGCCTTTTCATCTGGATCTGCTGGGATTCCGCTCTTGGCGCCTCTGCTTTCAAGTTTCCCGTTCTCATTCAAAGATTGTCCAAATCTCACCGTATATGTAGAGAGCTCTTAGGGCAATGCAGACTCCAGGTTGCCCCCCTTTTCGACCGAGAGCAGGGTAACACAGAGAACACGGGGTGCCAGCTGATCGAAAATCTGGAAGAAATTCCGAGTCTACGTTGGTCTCCTTCCACACACCGGCAGAACGGGACACTGTAAACAGTGTCAAACGGAGGCAAAAAGCTGGCCAACATGGGGATCGAACCCAGGACCTTCGCGTTAACTGGAATCCGACGATCGAATACCGTATTAGCACGACGCTCTAACCAGCTGAGCTAGTCGGCCGATAGGAGTACGAAGATTCCAAAGATATACGTTTGCTTATATCATCCGCATTCGAAGGGAGAAGAGCAACCCAAGTCAGAATCTTTAGGACGAGTGATTTCGAAAGACGGCGATCCTGAACATGCGCAGGGGGAACGGAGAAACGGGCGAAGCCTCGAAGTCGGTGGGCCACAGGCCTCGAGAGGGTGAGATCGTACCGGTGCTAGCGGCTGACGAGGCATAAATTGGTGCATCCCAATCTCATGCAGGTTCTCGAGGTAAATGTGTGGTACGATGATTCGTCGAGCAACCCAGCGCGCTCCAGGATGTGAGTGACGTGCCCAACCCGCCTAGCCTTCGCATACTTACCATTCCTGGGGACATGATATTATCGCAAGTCGGTCTGTAGGTTAGGCAGCGAACCGGCCAGGTAACAGACGGCTGCACGATAGATGAATTATAGCACCACTATTGTATATAACCCACACATGCTACATGCGTCCTCTAGAAGATCGAGATAAGATTGTCCTGGAGCAGGATAAGAGGAAGAATCAGCATCATCGCTGCGGAAGCCGTTGATTCCACCAAAACATCGTGGCATTCTCAGAATAATTTGAAGTAACGCGCATCAACGCGCCAAAAGCCGGACGTTTACTCAAACAACTTCCCGAGAGCTCCCTTCTGAAGAAAAAAGCGCCTCTGAAGAGTCATATGGCCCAGGCATCTCTCATCATTGTAACCACCCAACGTCGATGATAGAAGGGGCTTACCTGATAGCCAAGTGTCCAGCTGGGAAGAAGAGAAATCGACTACGGTTCTTCTTCCTCATCGTCTGTGAGCTCCTCTCCTTCTCGGACGCCGTGGTGCCGCAGAAGACCCTCACGCCGTGCCCATGAACGTCCGTCTGTATATGGCATGATCCGGAACGGGACGAAGAGCGTGTATAATGGACTGTCAAGGAAGTTGTGAGATGACAGGTTGGCCGAGCGGGCACAGACGAGGGCGGCATGCAGGTGCAGGAGGTACACTTACTAGCCATTTGGTCCGATATTGAAGAACATTTGGAGATTCTTGCGTTTACTGTTGTCGTTGTTAGGAAGGAAGAAAGAGGTGCAATTGGCCGTCACGTACCCCAAATCATATGAGTTGACGAATGTCTGTTGTATTCAAAGGTCAGGCGTTCGGACAATCAATCAAGAGTGAAGTCGGCCTACATCTCCCCGTCCTTCCGCAACCTTCCGATACACACCATGGTCCTGAGCTTCAACAGATGTCTCTCCCCGTGTGATTCCCCAGAGATGCCAGAGGAGCATGATAGCGACCGCGATGCAGAGCACGACAGAAAGCATGTAAGTGAGAATGAAGCAGAGTTGGGGAAGGGTATGTGTCCATGGCTGATTGTAGGGGGCAAAATTCAGAGATGCAGGAGTGGAAACGGAAAGGCGGCGTACGACGTATGTTATTCCGAGCGCGTCAAGTGCATGGGGGTATCCGAGGTAGCTAAGGAAGAACGTAGCGAGGACGAGATACACCCTACAAAACGGATTCTTGAGGCACATCGTAGACAGAGCGAATAAGCTACATACATGAAAAGAACGAAATGCCGTTCGTTGTGCAAGCCAACACACTGATTTATCCCTGCACACGTTCAGACATGTCCTGTGAGATGAGCACAACATCGATAACTTACACTGAAAGCAGTATACACAGGTTCAGCACAAGTTCTAGGAACGAAAGATGGTACTGACAGGACAGTGGTGGTCATACTTGAGCACGCACTTGTTACATATACGACAATGATGCGCCCTCTCAGTGAAGCATGCATGAGCTCGACTCTCCGGATACATTGGGGAGAAATGGTTGGCTCACCTCTGGTCGCATCTCCAAACATCGCCTACAGCGGGTCATGTTCGCCCTTACGATCTCCACTTCTTGGGACGACCATTGCACTCCAGAAGTCACCAGTCGTCTCTGGGCACGTGACGGAGAAGCCCATAAAAATCCAGTTCCAGGATATCGTGGTGCGTCGTCAATAAAGCCAGGTCGCACTGTGCAGACATAGTAATAGTGCATGATTAAGTTCAAAGCAATAAGGATGCAAGGTGGCGTAGTCAGCCATGGAAGCGCCAAACTGGGCTGAACTACGGTGACTAGAGAAAATTTACGGTTAACTTGAAGAAAGTCCTACGTCAAGAATACTCACAAAAGCTGATAGTACCCAGAGAAATAAGGATCACAGCAAGGCCAACAAAGTATGGCCCTGCTGCGCCCGTGACGCGGTCACCAGCGCGTTCTAGCCATTTGAAGCACCGGAATACTTGACGGGCACAAATCATTCAGATGATGAAGCCTTTGTGACCTCGAGACGAGCCAGTGACTGATAGCTTGGAGGATCTGCGTTCAAGGACCAGCAAGTTGTCCCGCGTTGTGGTGGGGTTGGTGTAACTGGTAAGTACAGTCATTTGCATATTGGTCTGGACAAGCGTCAATCATCTTGATGTATTTGTCCTCGTTTGGATCCCTGACTGAGTTTGAACCGGCTAGCCGGCATGCAACACATTGGCCTGGGGGATCAGGGAGTTGGTGAAGCTTTGAAGTCCCAGTTCGTCTGCAACGACTCCAATCTCTGCACCCAGCCTGCTTTCCAGCGTCAGAGCGCCTTTGTGGGCTCTAGGGACCACAGCTAAGGCCCCCCCCCACCGTGTTCGTTCGGTGGTCCTCCTCTCCTGACCGCCGAATCAGGCAATTTGCTGCACTTTGCTCTTCTTCGTTCACGGTACCACCGGTATATGGTGGGTAGTGCACTATTCCTGTCAGTTCTTCAGCCCTCTATGTCCTCCCGAGCTTTTCCGCCCGCTGCTCTGCAAATATTCCGGCCTATGCAGCATCCTTATTGAAGTTATTCTCTGTTGTTCTGCATCTCTTGCCATCTGTACATACATTTTCTATTGTCCCACAATCCTCCCCACCCTCGGGTGAGTGTAAATTACTGTTTTACTAGAGCATTGACCCCACGGGAGTGGGTAGTATTGTACATCTCCCTCCTACCTTGCTTGAATGAAGCTGAATGTCGATAAGGATGCTCCTCACTCGGCACGCGGTGCCAGAGAGTGTTCAGACTCAGCCGGCGATCCAAACAGCAACAAGCACGCCCAGTGTGATTCATGTTTGTCCAGACCATTATGCAAACGACTGTAGTCTGGTACAGCAAGCCACAACCTTCAAAGTCGGATGGTCATCACGTGCCTATCATAGCCGGGTTGTGAGTTTTGGGTTTCACCACCTCGTCCCTTGGTCTTGACGTTGTCAGTGTTACGCATCTGCGGGATGCGGAGGCATGCGTCTCTTCGTCGTTCACAAGCATGGCAAGACTCGTACGGATTTCGAAAATCTTTACAAACAAGTACTCGAGAGGTTCTTTGGTCGAGATATTTACGGTAGTACGAAGAACAGTTCCATTACCAGTGGAGAACGGCCAGGGCTACGACCAGGAGGTTAGCTATGATCCCGAATCGCTGTCGAGCGTTCATCCTCTCTTCCCGCATCGGTCCTTCACCTGCTCTCCCAGTAAACCAATCGAATCTCCGCCCGAGCAAGAGGATCTCATTTCGCTCCAGTAGCCCAACAACGCGACCGCATTCGCTCGCCATCCTGATTAAAGAGCTCTCGATCACGGCTAGGACCCAATCTACGCTTCCCACAGTAGAATTGAGCGCCATGGCTCTGTCTGCGTTACGAAAGAGATGGCGATAGACGTCATGCGCGATGTTGGCGACGACTGTTGCGACTCCGAGATAAATGGCGACGAGGAAGAAGAAAGTGACGCTGGTGAAGAGGTACACGGGCACGCCCACAGATGCCAGGACACAGCTGATCAGAAGACATTCCGCGCTGTTCGGTGCGTGATCAAAGTAAGTCAGCTCGGGATATAGCTTGATCAGGCCTCCATCCCCTTTCGACCACATGTAAAAACGCCAATACGACCTTTTACCTCCGCTCCACCATGGGTGAGTCACGACGACTTCGGGGGAAGGATGAAACCCTTCCCCTCCATTGTCGATCGAGAACTGCCTCTTTTGCCTGCAGAAGTCAATGTCTTCACCTCCCCCAGTCTTCGGAAACTGGAGATTATACTCGACCCCATCATCGACGCGACGTGCGATGAGGTTCGCCGTCACGCCCCATGGCATATCGGTCTCCCCCGGCATCTTCGTGGCGATATCCCAGAAGTAGGTGACACCTGCAAGATGGACCGCGGTCGTGAAGATGGAGTCAGCGGGAGGGAAGTGTGCGTTGCCGATGAATCCCGCTGCCTTGGGATGCGCGCGAATGATTTTCTCGGCCTCGATTAGGAGGTCTGCTCGAGGAGCAATGTCGTCATCGAGGAAGATGATCCATTCCGCGGCGGATTCTTTGATGCCTCGATTGCGCGATGCTGATGCGCCGAGGTTTTCGGTGTTCACGCGAATGCGAACATCAGGTCGACAGGCATATTTATTCTCGAGCTCAAATCGTGCAGTGGAATGCGGATCATCAACAATGACGATGAACATGACAGTGCACGTTGAGGATGGTTTGAGGGTCAAAATCGGCCCGAGGAAAGGTAGCTGAACACGATAACTAGGGATGACAATATCCATGGTCAGCTTACGCGAGGCGGCTGGACAATGTTCGCGTAGCCACTGTTCGGCGGTATCTGTCGCGTCGTCGAGCGTATTGAATGTCCAGCCGTCCGCATGCTGCTGGCGGTACCGTGCAGGGCGACTCCCGCCAATTTCGTTCAAGATTCTGGCCGGAAACATAGTCGAACAGTTCCAACGACGGTAGAGTTGATATAGGAAGGGGTCCCCATCTTGATTGATGAAGATTTCGGGGATCACATTGCCGTCGAAGATGTCGAGATGCGTACGATGGATGATGGGGAATGTCGGCATGCCAGGGAACGTAACGTCCGTGAAGGCTACACACCCAAAACCATGAGGGACACCCTCGCGCTTCGCTATATCAGCGAATTCAGCGTG